GCAAGCCATAAACCTATAAGGTAGGGAGTGTTCCTGTTTCTTTTAACCTTAACCTGTCGAAACCTTACACCCAACCTAAACCCCGCCTAAATGCAGGCTCCAAGCTTGAAGAAAAGCATAAATCGTCACCGCAACCAACCTACACCCCAAACCCACCCTAAGGCATGTCGACTCGAAGCCTTATAGCTTAACTTTAATAAACCCGAAGCTCAAGAGCTTGAGCTAAACTCAAAACCCCCAAACCCCACAACCACACCACAGGAGGAAGAGCACCCCGAACCATGGACCACCGGGGGGGAGGGGGGGGGGGAAGCCGCGGAGCGCCTGACCATATATATCATTAGATTCGAATTAATTTCAATTTCTGCTTAGAATTTACATCCCGGCAGAATGCATCGGTTTTCGTACAAATTATAACTCTTTTTCGGAAATATTTTTGCCCTTGCTCCACAGGATTTCTATGCTCCCGCCCCCCTGCCCTACGACACTCTCTTTCCTCGATGCATCCTTGCCCCACCACTCCACGACCCCCTCCCCCCCGATTCAACGACATTCCCCTCTCTCTCTCTCACACGGGCTCGAATTGATCATGCCGCGAAGAAGCAAGTTATTCACGGCATGCTATGTACAGAGTGTCCAATCCTTCACTATTGTATTGAACATCGCTAAATGTGAATGTCGATGATATCCAGTGCTTGGTCGAGCGGCGTAATGACGTGAAGGCTAGAATACAGAACAAAGTTGACCGAACATGTCGTGGTACGAAGTTTCCAGGGAATTTGGCGCAGTACGAAACCATGCGTTTTCCGGCATTTCCGGAGTGTCGTGCTGCACGAGACGCGTCTGGTACGAAACCCTTAAAATCCCAGGAATTTCTTGGTCTCGTAATCAAGACTCGCTTTTAATTTGAAGACAAACAGCTGCAGGCTTGTCAGCGACCCCAAAAATCCGGCAAGTTTCGTGGTTTGGTAACGGCAGCCGCCGTCATGCACAAATCCGAAGCCGGAGGAAGCGCAGCGTTTTCTAGGGTAAATAAAGATCTTGTGAGCGAGAATAGGTTCGAGTAAAAGCACCGGAGCACTGATCGTACAAGAAAATAGAAATACATGAAGATCCGTTTTAGTTTATTGATTTCCACTAAAGATTCATGTCAAACATGTGGGTCTGTGCACATGCACATGGGCACTTGTCGGGCTGCATTGTTCCTATCATTATATTATATTATACTATATTATACTATAATATATTATAATAATATAAAATATGATATAGGCGAATATAAAAAATGTAATGTGTTCATCGAGGCGGGAGCTTCTCGCACGACAGGCTTCGCGTTTGGCCTTTGTGTCGTCTTGAACATCTCGGTAAGATCCTACGCGCAGGTTGAGGGCAGGGTCGAGCTGATCGTGCGCATGCGCAGAAAGATCTTCTCTTCCACCACACATTGAGATGTTGGCTTGCTTTGCAAGCAACAAACCTCAGATTGAAAGCACCTGTACAGTATTGACTGCTGTTGCCAAGCTTCAGCAGCGGTCACAATTCCTCTCGCCTCCTCAACGTCCACCAGCCTTGCCATGCCACGAATTAAACAACCAGCCAAGAAAGAGTTCGGGATCCCCCTTTCTGTGTGAACGTCGCCCGCAGTCACAGTCTGGAGTACTCGTTTAGCAGACAATACGGTCAAGGAGTGGCACGTGATGGCGCCAAAGGCCCAACGGTTGAAATGTTCCAATGATTCAGGTTCCGGTCAAACGAAGGTCGCTGGTAGAGTTCAGCGGCAAAGCTTTCGGATGCATTGGTGGTTCCTTGAAGGAATGAGTCCTACTGGCTCCCCGGCCCCCCAAGCAACATCTGCCAGGGTTGGATGAGGAATTCTGACCTTCTGACTTTGGACTTTGCTGGGGTTGCGGCTTTGTGGTTGCGCTGTAGTCTCCCCAAACTAATTACATCAACACAGGCCCGACAGGCTCAACCAAGGTTGGTTGACACCCGAATGCTGCTTGAGCTTCTGGGAAGCTGAGCAGCGCAAGGCGCGTGATCCCTGTCCATTGCGACAGTGCTGCGCACTACGCTGATTTTCTCGTGTTAACCAGACTCTCGCCTTGCAGCCCGTTTGCGCCCAGCGCTGTGCATCTGCTCACCTGCCAACAAAAAATGGGACGGTGCGGGAAGTCTGGATGAAAGCACTGCCTTCCACTGGGCTCCTTTCCCACCTTCGCTTCAGTCAGACTTCATGTCCAAGGTAAAGGTGAATAAAGCAGGGTCAGTCTAAGTAGATCGCAAATCGAGTGAGCTCTGCGATGCTAATGGCCTCCGGTAGGCAAGCGAAGTACTCAGTTTTAGAGGTGTGTTCCTTTTGCTACTCAGCTCCTGGCACCTGACTTGTCCACATCCAACATGGCACACAACCTTCACGGTCGTAAGTGCAATGAACAAATGTCTCGTTGTGGGGGCTCCGTGAAGATGCCATTGTGGTACCTCCATATCTGCTGGTCTGTGATGACTGTGGGCGGGATCCTGTTACCGAGCCATGACTTGAAATCCAGTGATTTGCACTGCAAGATGTCGCTGCGCCGTCCTCATAGCTCTGCGTAGAACCTGGCGAACTTCATCCACCTGCATGGCTTGGTAGTGCTGGGGGCAGGCGAACTGTCATGCGAAGCAGCTCAGCAGAAAGAGGTGTCTTGCTGGCTTGTGCCTCCAGCACCCCGGAGCCGTTGTAGTCGAAACGCGAAAATAATGCCTAGCCGCCACAGCAAGCAGAACATGCCAGTATATGCCAATAGCACGAACTAGAGTTTCCGGCTTGGATCTCGCGACCCATTTGTCCAGCGTATGAGGCAGCCTGCAGTGGACGGAAACATGCAAGCGCAACTCTTCCCTTGTGCAACTTCTTGGGCCTACCCCATGCGATTGAACACAAATCCCAAAAACGACTTGCTTTATGACCCCGCTCGTCATGCTTAATGTTTAGGGCAATATATTCAACGCATGACATGTGTAACATATGTGTAAATACTTATATGTGTATGTGCATATATATATATATACATACATCATGTACACACCTGCACACACATACGTATATCATATGCGAACATATCTATATCTATATGTATCCCCCCATATGGGGTCGCCTAGGTTTTGTCAATAAACCAATCACCAATAAACCTATCCCTTCCCACCTATGGGCCAGAGAAATTGGTTCGTTGGTTGTTGGTTTATCGGTGCATCTGCTTTCCCACTCCCAGTACTATTACAGAAGTTATAACTTAGCAGGGTGCTTCTGACATGGGCAACTTCTTCGGCTTCCTCGTCTACCTACAACAAGCAGCCGAACAGGGTAGAAATGTGGGACAAGGAAACTCAGGCCGATTACAAGCCGGCTCTCGAAAGGGTTCAGCCTCCTCCCCAAGTTGAAATGAGAATGTTTGAGGGACCCTTCGCTATGTCTCAAGGAGGGGGCAAACTGTGTTTGTTTGAACAGTGCTGGGGCTCCGTAATGCTTCTCGGACGAACCGGGTCGTGCTTCATAGAATGGCGGCAACCGGATCTACTGATTTGACCCAGGCCCGCTACCGTCGGATCTTCAAAAGTGGAGCGGATGTGGTGCTAGGCTTTACAGTCGGCACCAAGGAGGAGTGATGAAATATGAATCCTCCCGCATGAGCTGTGGGTCATGTGCAAAGCCTCATAGTGACATGGTATATGACCGGCCTTTCTTTGGCTAAAGCTGAAAAGCACAACATGTGGCCATGGCCTTTCGTAAAGATACACAAAATGCTTCAACAGCGTGGGCAGGTCCCAGAGCCTTACGAACGTGCTTTTGTGCGTGAAAAAGATCAGCTCGACTTGCCATGGTGTAAGAAGGCGCATCAACTGCATAAGCCCTTCCACCCGGTCGACTTCAACCGTTTACAGAGGAATAGGCTCCGGACACTAATGTTTGTAGCCGGTCTTAGGGGGGTATGCCCTTTTGCTGTGTGAACTCATGCACTGTGATAGATTGACGGGCAACTTCTCCCTTTGGAGATTTAGCCCGCAGCTGGCCTCCCTAAAGTGTGGACATGGCTTTGCGTTTGGCTTTGTAGGGGTCTGGGGCAGCTTTTTGGTTGCTGGCCCAATCCCTTGTGCGAGTCCATACTGGCTTGTGCCAGATTTCTGGTCCGCGCAGTTGCCGTCCAAATAATAGCTAATGCATACACGCGGCGGCTGTTTTTGACTCGGGCTGTTTGCCCTGAAAGCGTCGAGCATGAAGAACACGCACACACACACACCCACACGCACACCCACACCCACGCACACGCGCGCGCACACACACACACACACACACACACACACGCACGCACCCACTCACCCACCCACACCCACACCCACACGCCCACTCCCCCGCACACGAAAGCACACACACGCAGAGACACAGACACAGACAGACACAGACAGACACAGACACAGACACAGACACAGACACAGACACAGACACAGACACAAACACAGACACAGACACAGACACACACAGACAGAGACACACACACACAGACACACGCAGAAACACACACAGACACACACACACACACACAGACACACACACAGACACACACACAGAGACACACAGAGACACACACAGACACATGTTTACATGTTTATACAGTTCGTCCTTATTCGGAGGAGTGTTTTCAGACGCCTGACCAAGCATCAGCTGGTGAAACGCCGAGTCGAGACTTCGGTGTGGGTCGGTAAAGCAGATTGGCTGCAAGCTGCTCACAACTGGGATGGAAGCCAGCTCAGTCGGCGTGGGCGTGGCTACTGTCTGGCTGCACATGCCTGAGCCAGGTGCAACCGGCTGCTGGGACTTCTTTGGAAGCGTCACAGTTTGTAAGATCCTGCGATTGATTTTGAAATTATGCAGCAAGGCGTGGTTGCCTCTTCTACCGTCCGGCACACTGGTAAACTGTAAACTCATTACGGTATGTAAGTACATACGTAGTACGCATGGTATGTATGTATGTATGCTCGCATGTCATGCAACATAGTGGCATATAATGCGATGTGATGTGGTGTAATGTGGCGCAATGTGTTGTGATGTATTGCGCTGTAACGTGAGGTAACATGATGGAATGCAACGTGATGTAATGTAACCCTATGCAGTGCGATGTAATGAACTGCAGATTGCCGACTGGAATGAACAGTACATGTAAGACAAAAGCGCAATGCGTATGTGCATGTAATGTAGATGAGTTGCAAATGTAAGGTAACCGTAATGTGACCGAAACGCAACCGCATGTCACTGCAGTGTAGTGTGAATGTAAACGAAGTGCATATGTATGTGGTTGTACGTGAATGCACTGAAGATGCAACATAGATGTATTGTAACTGCACAGGTGTGTGCCCGGGTATGTATGCACAGACTCCTGTATCTGTTCGTGTATGCATCTACTCATTTACCTATCTCATTTAGATGTTTGTGCGGTGCATGGAAGTTGCTGCCGGTACCGAGCGTGGACACTGCATGACATGTTCTCGCATGCATGATCTCCATTTGATGACATGCCGTCGCCTCGTTGACCGGATCTTGACCTTGGATTCGCAGGCTTTCGCAGGTGGAGGTTTGGCTTTATATGTAGAGCTCGGATGGCAACGGCCTGGAACCCTGCATGCTGGTGTCTTGCAGGCCCTGCCAGTTCTGCGGTGAAACAACAAATCCAAAGCCAAACAGATGCAACCCGACCGTAGACTGGCCAGCGGCGCGAGTCTGTAAGGGCCACCTCGCTGTCTCCCACCATGTCGAGACCACGCCTGTGGGACTGATCGAGTTCAAGCTTCATAGGTGCCCTGAGTCCGGTGAGTCCGGCCCCCCACCTGACATCACCTTTTTGCACCGGGGCCTAGGGTTTCAGCACTCACAACTGGGCCTAGGGTTTAGGGGCTTTAACCCTCTGAGCAACTCGAACGTGATGGGCAGAAATGGTGCTCCAAACACGGAGTGACATCCCTATTGGTAGCTCCAGCCTGTCGTCCACGCAGAAGGCCTTAGGGATCAGAGGCTTTTGCACGGTTTGGGAGTTTTTCCCCTCTCGCAGGGCTCGGGAGCAATGCCCACAAGCTAGGTCAGCTAGGTTTCTTTGGGAGACTTAGACTGCTTGGGAGTTTAGGGCTTAGCGCTGAGGGTTGATCGGGGCATCCTCTAATTTGTTGGTGCAGTTCTGTGTGCTCATCATCGGCGATAGCTGTGACGGTTACCTTCAGATAGATACCCATAGGCCCTAAAGTGGTTCCTTTTTTTGGGTTCATATATAGAATCCTATAGGGTAACATCCAAAAAGGAACTATTTTAGGTCCGATGGATAACTTACACAACTGTAAAGATGGTTTTCAGGGAGGAGGAGGAGCATCTTGTGTCTCAATGCTTCAGACAGAGACAACAAAAAGCAAGGCTCAAAAGCCTCCAACATGCCTCAACACCTGCACGACGCTGAATCCAAACTGATGAACCTCGATGCGCCCTCCTCTGCCGAAGGCCGTCTCCAAAGCCCCAAAAGCCTATAACCCTAAACCCTATAACCCTATAACCCTAAAAAGTCTGTTGGGTTTCAGACCTGGACTTGGGAAGTCCACAACTCGGACTTGGGGTACCAGGTTCAAGACTCGGCACGCCCAGAGCTCGAAATCGCAAGAAAAGTGGCCAGCAATAGCCCTGGCGACGCGAAAAATGTGACCCGTGACCATAGCCCGAAGATGCCGAAGACTGGAGTTCTCAAATATCAACTCCATCAAGCTGAGGCACGGTGAGGATGATTCCGAGCCCGGCACATGCAGTGCAGCACAAGAAGACAAACTGCACACCGAAAGCCTAAGTAGACTCGGGGAGGGAATCTGCTACACTTCCAAGCCGGCTCGGCCTATGAAGACGTAAACAAGCAACGGCTTGAGGTGAGGTGGGATTCTTGCCCGGTTGCATTCTGGAGCAAGCGGCTCATGAGCCCTTGTTCTTCGTCCCCACCGTGATTTGGACATGACTTTTCTTCAGTACTGCACTGCTACACGTTAGGAAAAGGCGCAAGCATGCGCGAATCGAGGTGTACTCCTTCATTGGTTGCGCCCACCTTCTCCCAGAAATAGATATATTATATCATAACTATGTTATGGTATAATATATTTCTGGCACTCGCGCTCGACCAGGTCAATATATATATATATATATGCATGCGTTCTATCATAACATAATTATGACATATACTATCATAATTATGAGTAGTCTAATTCATTATACCATAATTATCTTGTACTAGATCATATCATAGTTTAAACATACACAAACACACACACACACATATATATATATATATACATATAAATACATATTAGGTCATAAACCCGAAACCGTAAATCCCTAAACCCCTAAACCCTAAACCCTGATTCTGGTCATGTTATGACCGTTTTCTCTCCCGGCCGGGAGGGGCCCTGGGCCCGGGGGTTTGCCGGGATGGCAGTTCAGATTCAGCTGGTCGAGCCGCAGGCCGTGAATGCTCAATGTGAAACCCACCAGCAAACATTAATAAACAGGTCCAAGACGCCCCGACCAGCGGCTTGAACATGGCTGACCCGATCACAGCGCCAAGCTTTCCGCAGGCAGCGCAGAAGCCGTTCAGGGTCGATCTCACCTCCCCGAGCTGGGATCCGACTTTTGAGCTTTATGGGTGAAGGGAAGTTTAGGACTTGGGGCTCAAGGGGTGTAGAGTTTAGGGCTGGATTGGGCTTAAGAGTCGTCTAAGCCTTACTGTGGGACTGAAGGAGCTCCAAGCGATGGCTGGCTGTAAGAGCCCATGGCCGTCTTCATTCGATGGTGCCGCCATGACGCATGACTGAAACTCCTGCTGCTTCCACTGGGCTTTCACAGTATGTAAGCCGCTAGCCATCACCGCCAGATTCGCTTTTTCGACTTTGCACCCCATTTTTGTAACACATGAAGCCCCAAATCCGAGACACCTGCACACGCCCCTCCACCCACTATGTAATCTTATTCAAAAAATGTACTTTCCCTGCAAACCCTAGCAAGAAGCCCTACCACCAACCTACCGATGGCCTCAGTCGGGAAAGTCTCCGACGGCAAGATAAAGGTTGTGCTGTTCGGGCCGAAGTTGCTGAAGAAGTACCTTGCATCATAATATAGGGGCCTTAATTGTTAGAATAGGGTTTGGGGGCCCATTATAACATAATTAACTATAAAAAGGACCCCCCCCCCCAAAAAAA